TCATCTTCTTGAGTATCGGTCATTTCGCCAAAATAATTGATACCCGTCTTCTGCTACCTCTTTTGCGCGCCTATTTTTTGATTCATCAGAGAAGATCCACCGCAAATTAGAAATAGAGTGACGAGTGGTAAGTGTAAAAAATACCTGTTTAATGAGTGACATTCATTCAACCAGTAGATGTAGAACAATATCAACATCTTCATATGCAGCGGGGGCACAGCAATCTTTACCTTCGTCGAACAATAAACACGTCAGACGCATGAGAGGTTAGGTTAGGTTGTGAAGTCTGCACATCGAGCCAGAAAAAAAATATCAAACGATATCTATTAGACGTATCTCAGCAGCCTCATGCAAGTACCATTACTCAGCTCCCCGTCGTCAACACTCGTAGAGTTATGCGCGAGTACTTCCGTTCCCGCGATACCCTCGCTCCCGACAGTGGCAAGGACATAGTTCACCGCTCCTGCCGCACCAGAGACCGGGAAGACGAGAAACCCTGCTATGTATTAGAGGACGGCGGGAACACATTATGGAGGTGGATTTTAGATGAAAAATATTATGGAGGTGGATTTTAGATGAAAAATATTATGGAGGTGGATTTTAGATGAAAAAAGGAGCCGAGTTCCTGTTAATGGAAAACTACTCCGCACTACTCTTGATAAACCTGATCTTTGGAAATTGGCGCGCATATACGGATCAAGGAGCAGGTGCAGGAGGGCCACGAGTTAACATTTTGTCATGTCAGTACTCGTCGGGGACAGGAGGGGTGAAGGGGCAGTGTGGTCGGCGGTGTCGATTATATTTCTGTTTACTACTTGTGCAAACCACGCTGCAAGATCAAGGTGACGATAAAACGTAGTTGCACCATTGCGGAAAGTTCACCTAGTCGAGCGGTTTGAGGTTCGCTTGGTCGCTTATAAGAACATGATATAGATCATTAAGTAGCCTTAAGAAAGCTGCGCCGCCCTCACGCGATTATAGCGGAACAGGTAAGGCGAGAAGGGGTGCAAAATCATGACGCCAGTACCTTCGGTCCACGTGCCAGGCTCGTGTATGGTTGGTAGTAGAAGGAACAAATACAAGACGCAAGTGGGCTGGATGTCGATCGCAGCCGAAGTAAAAAACCTTTCTCCACCCACTCTCGTGAATGGACTACTACTGCCACACACACACTTTCAAAAGTAAGGCATCAGTGAGAACCTAATCTCATCTTTTATCTGATTCTGGGTCTTTCAAAAAAAAGGTTGTGTCTGAACTTCTTCAGACTAGATGCACAAGACCCCCAAGCCATCCCGTTCCTCGAGAGCAGCACGCGCTGTAGGTACGCTTTCAAATAAACAATTAGAATTATTTCTTACAGTTATCGCGATTCTTTTATTACATCACACACGCTCTCAGCACACGCGTCTTGATTTGAAAATCGACTCAACAAGACCAGTTGCAGTCGTCCTTTAACGCTTAATATCTCCATTCCAAAAAAAATCACTCTAATGGCCATCACAATGCCGTCAATGTTCTTGCAGAGTTTTAATGCTGTTGTACAACTAGATCAAAGCGCCGTCGTCCTTGCGCCTGCCATACGCTCTATTTGCCACATCAAATTACGAACACCAGGCACACCAACTTTACGACATCAACCTACGTCTATTCCGAAGACGACGACAACTTTCGAGTAGAACGATCGAACTCAATCAATGCTTTTCTTTGAAGTTGTTTGAGCCGCTAAGTTGATTCCAGGGTAAAGGGGATCACTTTATCGTTGATTCAGAATAGAGGTGGAGGTGTACACATCAGGAGTATTGTGTTATGGTTCGGGGGAACCAACAGCGACGACACTGAGCAGCAAAGAAAATCATGTGAAAAAACGACATCAAAAACGAGAAAACAAATGTTGAATCTCACACACCTTATGAATATATCAATATTATAGTTAGTTGAAAGAATACATAGTTAGTAGCATCATTTATCTCATAACATCTTGTTGATACTCTGAAGCCTGACCCCCTTCGTGCGCCACAAATCTCGATCGCCGTCGCGCAGGCGCAGGAGAACTACTACTGCTAAAAGGCTCCACGACACCACATCGTGGACGCCTTAGGAAGCAGAAGTTCTACACGCTGCCTAGAGAAAGTCGAAGGTGTACTTCTAAAAAGTACTTCATTTTTCTTTTCACAAGGACTCCTATTTCTGCTACTTCACCTTGCACTATTCTGTTCTAATTTTCTGATGTATTCCTTCAATTTTAGACTGGCGTTTCGATGACGTTCTGCCAAGGCCCTCGCTTGATCCCGCTGTTTTTCTAATGTAGTTCTCGCTTCGCGCTCCTTCTCCACATTCTCTTCTAGCTGCTTCTCGAATCTCCCCTTTTCGGTCGCCAATTCCGATTCGGATGTTAGACGAGACGATCGATGACGAGGTCGGAGACTAAAATTATATTTCAATCAAATAGAATTAGAAGTCGTTGTAGTAGACGTGTCTACTCAACTTCAAGCAAAAACTTTACTTAGCAAAAACATATCGTCCCCTTCAGGCTATCTCTAACGTTTTCAAGATTGAATTGATTGAAAAGATTTTACTTAGAAAAAGTCGTAGTAGTATTGTTGTTGTTGTTGTTGTTGTTGGAGTACCTCCGATGTGTGAGTGAAAACTCCTTGATCGCGCTTCTTCCCTACAATTACTCAGGATAAAAAAGTTGAAGAATCGATCAAATTATACTTGTTCTTAGCACCCCTTGTTCCATAACAACTGTGATAGCTTCGCTAGATTTTCTTCTAGCGTATTTTCGAGTGAAGTTTTGTCTACCGCATGTTTAAGATTTTCCTCCCGAAGTGCCGCTTCCCTGTCAAGTGCAACCTCAAGCTTCTTTTGAAGGCCCTCAACTTCTCCTTGAGCTGTTGCAAGTGCGCTCTCAAGTTCTTCGAAACGTGCTAATTTTGCTTCTTCGGACGACCTGTTATGATACAGGAAGCTTCTAATATTCGATTTTCTTCCAATATAAAAGAGTAAGTATTTAAGGGTATGATTTTATAGTCGTCGATAACATTTTTAACAGCAACAAGCGAGAACATTCTTGAGTTGTTGTATAAATGTGGAAGTGGTTGTTCGTAATGTCAACATATCTATAAATCACTGCTCATCTTGTAAAAATTCTTAGAAAGTTGGTGGAGCATATCTAACTAGAAAAAACAAAAACCGAAAAAAGAAAACAGAGGGAGGAACTTATCTACTACTAACTAAGCGCCGGCGCTGTCGTGGTCCTGTCAGCCCCAGAGGTCTCACCATCGAAGGCAGGCCGGAGCCTTGTGTAAAAATTCTTATAAATATTTTTCAGTGTGGTAAGTTGTAAGTACTTGTTCATCGTCTCCGCTTGTTGTAATGCGCTCTCAACTTTCCCTTCAACGAGGTCCAGGATCGCCTGTGGCCATGGTTCGTCTATTCTAAAGACAATCTTGTCGTGGGATCCGCGGTCATGGGCTTCTGGGGTCTCCTCTTGTCCTGTATGTAGGTGGATGTTGACATTTTGATGTGTTGTAAGTACTTGTTGTACTTCTTTAGAAGGTGGGTCTCGTCTCCTCCTTCTCGTCACTTTCTTCAACTACAAGGAGATAGCCGCGAGGAGATGGATTTAGTACGACATTTCAACAAGGAAGAGTTTCATTTTCAAACCTGCTACTTCTCAGACAAAAATCTTTCTTCATCTACAAATTATTCAGCAAAAAAAGTCGATCTAACTATCTATCTATCTATCGATCTAAGATCTACTTTACCTGTTGTTTTCTTCAACTGTTCGTCCAGTGCAGCCATGTTTCTCTCCAGTGCTGCTTTAGATTCTTCCAGATCCTTCACTTTTATCTCCAATTGCTCCCTCTCTACTCCCGCTTGGTCTACTTGTCGTTGAAGGTCGCCACGCTCCCGAGTTAAATTGCCGACGGCTGATCATTAGAGCAAGGAGATTGATGGAGGGGGAAGATAAAGAAGTAGGAGATTGATATTAGAGGGGGGAACAAATAGAAGCATTTGATGGAGCTGCAGAGGGAAGAGGGACTTCTACAAGCACATTGATGATGATGCTGTACTTTTTGTGGGACAAGATATATATAAAGTACACATTTCATGATCATGGACTGTTTTCATAATAATCATGGTCGTTGGCAATGGAATTCTGAATACATACTACAATCGTCCTGTGTTTCAACAGTACAAGAACTGCTCCTTGTACAAATCATTTCCTCATAATTCTGAAGTTCCTTGCGTTCAGGATCCATGATCGAGACTCGTCCTTCCACAACCGCTGAAGATAACAACGCTTCCTCTGCTTCTCTACCCGCCACAGCTTTGGTCTCAGTCCTCATTAGCAGTGGAAGTAGAAGTAGGAGAGAAAGAAACACTTCAAAGGATCATTCTCTTAGGGTTACTATTACTTGCAATTCTATATGAGAGGATCATCCTGCCGAGAATCGATAAGGACAGTACTTAAGTACAAGGACTCCACGATTTTCTTGCCTGTGGTCCCGCTTGTTTACCCTGTAGTTCATTCAAACATAGCCATGTACTATGTATAAAAAACCCATTTACACAAATTGCACAACACATGCCTTAATGGAATCTCCTGTGGTACACCTCCACCAAGAACTGGTCGTTGCATCCCAACAGCTATCTGCTGTGCAAGCTCTGGACTATCTCGCAAATCATCGTCAGCCCAGTCAAATTCTTCCTTGCTTAGAGACTGCTAGCACTGATACAATTTACACCGTACCATAGTAGTACTTTGAGTACAACCGTACGTTGTTTTGTTGTACTGACACTACTAAAACTTGTACTGTTGTGGTTCGACAAGACCAAAATTGATCATGTTGACTCTAGTGCTGCTCTCAGAAATACTATTGTACCCGAAGTGCTACAACAAATAAGCAACCAACACATATAACGAACTGCCTTGATTCCAATTCTTAACTTGATCAGAGGTGTCCCATGCAAAATGGTGGTTTTAACGGAGGCACCCAGACCGTCCGCTTCCGTTCCGAGAGTCATGGTGGAATACTTCTTCCGAGCCCGACCGAAAGTAGCTGCATTCTGCAACACGCGGACCTGGTGATAGATTGAGGGTTTCAAACGGATGTTACGGTTCCTAGCTTCGTCAAAGTGATCGAGGATAACGATAATGTCTTTGTGAGTAGTTGAAGTTGAAGTAGCAGATCGTGAGAACATGACTGAAGAGTAACAAGAAGAACGCCATGATAGAACTATAACAATAACCACTAAAGCGACCAACAAAACCCGGCTCAATACCTCTTCTTCCAACTCCTTGCATTTTTCTTCGAGTTTTCTGTTCTGGTCTGCGAGTTCAGCGCGAGCCCTGTCCCAATCAGCTGCATTTTCGAGGAGCATAGCCAATTCCGTGTTCCCTTGTGGAGAATGCGCCTCACGAACTTGCGAAACCGGCGTGCCGAGATCGGAAAAGGAAGGTTAGAAAATTAAGTAAGTAGACAGATGATCATGATGAGCAAGCGTAAGGGATCTACGAATAATGGTAAGTATTTTTAGATGATCGTAGTGTCGAACTCATCAGAGTGTCTTGTAGTGTGGTCTAATTCTTGAAAATCTCATTTCCAATGCAATGAGTAATGCTTGATTTTAGGAATGATCTATTGCTCTCCTGCCCCTGCGACAATCACTCTTGCCGTAAACTTGAGGACCCTTTCCCCTAGCAGACAGCAATGCGGCAGTCACAGCGGCTACGGCAGTAGTAGGACTGCTACTCATGGTAGAGCTGTGCTGATGATGCCCTCCCGCAGGCACGCCATTGGAAAACTGTTCATTCGAAGAAGCTCCTCTTGGCCTCCGCATATTAGAAGGGGCTCTTGCGGTTGCGAGTAGGACCGTGCACTAATAAATTCAAGTAGTTGCGACAAAAGGAACTACCTACAACATTGAAAGTGAAGCCTTTTCGTTTTTCTAGTAAAAAGCATGCAAATGGAAACACTAACATATTTATTGTGGTGGAGCCGACCTAACTTACTAGCAAAAAGAAAGTAGACCAGAGGAAGATAGAAAAGAGAAAATAACAGGGCGGGAATTATAATATCATTTACTCATATTCTTCAGCCATATGAATATGCAACGCGGTCACAGTCTTGTTCCTGCTTTCGTCTTCCCGTTTTAGTGACTCGGTTCTTGTTCCTGTCCTTGGATCTGTGTGTTCATACGCTTCGGCATCTGCATCCAAATCAGCACTACCCCCACGTCCTCGCCCCTCGACTTCCATCGACTCGTGATTGTTGGAAGCATGAAGTTGCCCTCCCTGAGAACCACGACGAAACGTAGAAGGAGATCCGCGCTGTGCGGTACCACCAGAAGGAAGTTGTCCGCGAGCTTGTTGATGGTGGTTAGATGTGCAGGAGTTGAAATCTACAATCCAAATTGCATGGTAGAAGAAGACTTGTTGGTTCCAGCTGGTTAGTACAACTCAGCCATACCAATATCGTCCTCCACTCTAGCAAGTAGTTACTAGTTACATCATCAACTACCACCTATTCAAAGCGAATTATGATCAAGAGCCTCTAAATCTTTGGGAAGGACACGAAGCGCGACATAACTTCTTTTTCTCGAATCAGCTGTTCGTTTTCGGTACGCAAAGCCTCGATCTGCCGTTCAAGCGTGGAGCACCAGTCAGCGCCCTCTTTCTTCAAGCGCAGATACGCCTCCCGCGACTGCCGCATATACGCCTTAGCCTGCTGGGCCAGGTGCAAATTTTCTGCTTGCAATTGCTCCCGTTCACTTTCCCAATTAGCCCAATGAGTTTCACCATCTTGCAGAATCTGGTCACCTGAATTAAATAAATGAGTTTCACCATGATCCTGCAGAATCTGGTCACCTACTAGGAAGGGGTGGTAGGGATTCTAACAGCTCCTGATGGGGCGAAGAGAGGATTAATTAATGATTGAAAATTATGTTCTACTTAGATGAAAGAACAACATCTACTACTTAGGTAACATGACAACTACTCCGGCCACAACTAGTTCTTGTAGTTGTAGTACATCCTCGGACAAAGAAATGAATCAGATTCATCTTGTCGTGCAGTAGTGGTGATAGCAATTACCTCGCTCTCGAGCTAGCTGCTCCTTTTCCTTCCAGCTTTCGACTTCTTCCTGCAAGGTGAGCACGTGCTGATTCAAATGCTTAATTCGAACTGAACGGGTCGTCCCGGCCTTCTCGCCATGGACATGACCACTGTAGTTCTTAGGGCTGTGGCCGACCAAGAAGTTCATCAATATTCATCCTTTTTGATTACTAGAATACTGACTCTTAAGATACTACTCAATCCTTGTTCAAGAAAAAGATGAATCAACAACGTTCTTAACTACGTGTTGATGTTCTAGTGGTGGGTGCCCCGTAATGTAATTCTGTGCCCCTCCTCCAGCCATCGGATTCCCTGCTTCCAGCACCATAAGTCTTGTCTCTTTCTCATCCAACTCAGCAACCAAGGTGTCGTTTTCCGCATTCACTTCCTCCAGGCTCTGCTTGAGTTTCGTAGCAGTTTCTTCAGCTTGCGCCACACGGGCATCGAGGTCCACTCATGTTAGAGGAGTTTCTTTGGGTTTCATCGGCAAATGCAAATCCATCTTCACAGAGGAGTTTGGGTTTTGCCAAACGTACTCAAAAGAATGGGAGATCGAAATTATGATTGAGAGCCCAGCAAGCAATGTATAATTCGGTTTAGGTTTAGGAATAGCGGCCTGAACATCTTCAGTTCAGGATAATTATCAGGGAAAATTTAGGGAAAAAAGTCTTAACAACGATCTGGTCTTGGTTTCCAGGTCGGTTCTCATGTTCTCCACGTATTCTCGGAACTGACAACTGCTCGCATCCAACTGAAGCTGCAACGTGTCTCTTGCCTTCGCCAATTCGGTCTCCGTCTCGCTGCTTTGCCCCTCCAAATCTGTCAATCGCTGTTCAGCCTGTAAAAGCTGCAGTTGCACTTCGGCCAGCTCCTGCTCGCGTGCACCCAGCTGTTGATTAGAAGTACTACCGCGTGTTCAGCATTCTTGAGGCCATCCGTCTTGGCCTCTTTTCCTACTCGAGGAAAAGGAAGCCAAGGATAATGTTCTCGAGGATGCTTCCTGCGTTGCCTTACGTTGAGAGTGCTGCTCGACTAACTGAGAGTGCTGCTCGATTAGCTGGGAGTGCTGCGTCATTAGCTGGGAGTACTGCTCCATTAGCTGTTCTGCGTGTTGTTGGTGCGCAGCCTTTTGCTCCTCTAACAGATTCTGTGTCAGCTGTTCGCTCTCTGCTCTGCAACATTGCTCCAGATGCGCTTTCTCACTTGCAAATGTCTCCGCCATCTCCTGCTCCCTCGCTGCAATCCGTATGGCATGACTCTGGTGCGCCTCCTCCAGCAAAGCCGCGTGTCGTTGCTCCAACTGCGCTAGTTCAGTGCTGTGTCGCTGCACTAGGTCCTCTGAGGACATCGCATTGTTCTTCTGTGCGGCGTCAAGAGAAGAAACGAGCTCTTCGTTTTTGCGCTCCAGGTCTTCTGCATGGGCTTTGGCTTCCTGGAATTCTGATCGCATCTGGTCGACAGCAACCGTTTGTTCTTCAAGACTACCCGTAGTAGCTGCTAGCTCTTCGCGCAAAGCCTGCAACTCGTAGGCTTAGAAGATATTACGTTGTCCAAAGATCAAACACAGGCAACAAGTTCTTCTTCTTGCTTTCTTACTTAAAATTCATTCACTCATCTCTTCAACAAAGCGCATACTGTGACTGTGAATAATCGTAGTTCTTGTTGTAAACAAATGTGATCTGTATCTTCTCTAAATTCTACGTGCGCTACGAGGCAGCTAGGCGAGGTGCCTGCGGCGGCGGGCAGGCGAGAAGCTTTTTGCTTCCCGAGTGCCTCGCCATCGCTGGCAGGCGCTCGGCTAAACGCACTGAGCAGGTGGAACCTTTTTTTCCCGGCGTTGCCCCCCGGGGAGCGCGCACTTCGCGCACTCGTATTTAAACCTCAAAAATAAAGCAAGCTTTAAATTCCACATAAAATTCGAGATGGCCATCTTAACTTTCCTTACTGCAGTTCACTTCGACCATCGCTGCCAGTCGCTGCTTTTCTTGCTCCAACTCAGCCACTTTTTTGTCGTTGAGAGCTTGTAGCGCAGTTTTTTCGGATTCCAAGTCAGCTCTTAGTTTCTCGAATTGTGCACTCGCTGTCTCCAGATCCTGTCTTGCAGCTTGCAAACTAGCGCTTTCATCTCGCTCAACACGACTAGCCTGCTGTAGCAAACACGCATTACGCTGTTCCAAGTCCGAAACCTCCTTCTCCAAAGCTTCTAGCCGGTCTTGATATCCCTCTACTTCGGTTTGCCCGGCTGCCAGCAAGTTCTTCAGCTCCGCACACTCCTCCTCATGGGTACGTTCCAAATTCTTCAGTGTCTGCGAAGTCGACTCCAATTCCAAGCGCAATGCGGCAACAGATGCCTTCTCAGTCTCCAAGTCCCGCTTGGCTGAAACAAGCTCCTCTTGAACAGCAGTCACATGTCCTTGCACGTCAGCAGAACCAGAAGTTGATGTAGCACCTGCTTCATCTTCATAGCCCATGTCTTGCACAACAGCTGCGACGCCTGGAGTGGTTGCAGTCTCCAAGTCCCGCTTGGCTGATACAAGGTCCTCTGCGACGCCTCCTGGAGTAGTTCTTGCTCCACCAGATGATGTAGTTTCAGGTACGAAATCGTCATCCTCAAGCACGTTTAACCAAGAATCATCATCGATCCCGTCGTTTGAAGATACCACGACTGGCGCGGCTTCTCCACGTCCACTTTCGGAGATAGAAGATTTCGAAGATGCTGATGCTGAGGTCGTTGTTGGCATAACAGGAGCTGCAGGAGGAGGTTCTTGGGGTTTTACCGCAACTACTTGAGCAGCTGCCGTCGCTTCTTCGAGTTGCTTTTTGGCGACCTCCAATTCGGCCATGGCTTTGGTGTTTTCTTCCAACAATCTGGTTTTTTCTACATCAGAGAGAGCCAAATCTTCGTCGCGCTGTTGAATCAGAGATAAAGCGTCCTGAACGCGCGCCTCTGCTTGTTGAGTCCGCTCCTCGCTCTCCGCTAATTGTTGCCTCACTTCGGCAAGCTTGCTCTGCACCTCTTGGACAGTGTTCTGCAAAATACCCTTTTCCTGTGCGAGCCCAGCTACCTGTAGTTCGAGCTCAGACATCTTCGCTTGACTGTGGTCAGCAGAAACGACAGTTGTAGATGTAGTTGGAGCTAAAAATGCTCCTGATGATTCTTTTTTCTCATCTACGACCGCAGGAAGTCCAGCTCCAACATCTAAATCGTCGAATGCATCATCCCCCCAACCGTCTTCGTCACTCCACATGCCTTCCTCAGACGCGATTTTTGACTCTTGCTTTTGACCCGCAGGAGAAACAGGAAGAAAACTTGAAGATGCATCAGCACCAACAACTACTGTACTATCAATGGCATTCATCGCATTTACAACCTGTTCTTCTCGTCCTTCTCCACCTTGTGGTCGTTCATTTCGTAGTGCTGTTAGATCTTGTTCCATTTTTGTAACCTCAGTGCGTAGTTTCTCCATCTCCTCTGAGTGCTGTTGTTTGGCAGTCTCTAAGGCTAGCAAAGCTTCAGACCCTGTTTGTGCTCTTTCCTCCGCTTCCGCACATTCGCGCTTGGCGTTTTCTAGCTGTTCTTGCAGCCAAACTTGGCCATCGGCTTTACTTTGCTCAGCATCTTCCAGGTCTTGTTGGAGCGTTTTGATCTCAGCCTCTAAGGCTCGCATCTTGTAAGAAGTTTCCTCAGCGTCGCTTTGGTCCTGTTTCTTGCTCTCAAGAAGACTTTTCGTCATCTCTGCGAGTTTTTGTTCATGTAATTGTGCCTGTTGAGTAAGCTCCTCTTGCAAGCGTAGAACAGTTGCATCCAATTCTTGGACCTGCTTCTGGGCCGCTGAAAAATTGGCCGCAGCTTCGGACGCAGCAGTCTCGGCAGCGGCTGTGCGCGCCTCGGCGTCCGCAATAAAGCTCTCTGCTGTACTTTTGCTCTCAGCTTTGGAAAAGACCAATTCGCTTTTTGCAGATTCTAAAGCCTCGACTGTGACTGCCAGTTCGTTCTTTGCAGTGAGCAAATCTGCATTCGCCGTCGAAAGCTCCACTTGTGCAGTCGCAAGTTCAGTCCGTGCAGTCTGGATTTGCTCCTCGCGCTCAGCCACTTCTCGCCGAAGGCTCGCGAGCTCCGCAGTGGCGGTGGCAGCTTCTCCCGCTTGCCGCTCTAACTCTCCTTTTCTTAGACGAGGACGAGAAGGAGAACTACGTCATATTACTCTGGAGAGATAGGGACAAAGGGGTTAGGGGTCGTTAGGGGTAGAGGAGCTGAAGACCGAATTCTACTTCAACGAAATCTAATATATAAGGTGAATAGGCTGAGACTGGTGACATGGAGAATTGAGTGGGACTAGAGAATTGGGTGGGACTAGTACGCGAAACATACAGGTGAACGAAAGCAGACATGATTCAAGGGGAAAAAGTAAAGCTATGATCATCATGATGACCCAACTTACTACGCCTTTGTTTCCATTCATAATCTCACTTTCTTTACTTCGTCTTCTCGCAAAGTGTTTAGCTCTTCGATCCTGCGTAGAAGTTCGGCATCCTTCTCCGCCAACGCCGCTTCTGCTGCACGCCGCTCACTCTGGAGCAAAAGTTCGGCGTCTTTCTCTAGTTTCGTTCGCATTTCTTCGGTTTTCGCTTTGTACTCTTGTTCCCTGCGGTCCAGGAGGTCTCGCTTCTCGTCCAGCTCAGTCTCTAGCCGTTCAATTGCGCGGTCTTTTTCTTCTTCTGGGATTAGAGGGGGATGTCAAGAAGAAGTAGAAGTGGAAAACTAATATGCTGAACAACGATATCTCGATAGAGCTTATCCATATTTCACACACGCGTTAGCGGACTGGCGATGAAGAGAAACTGATGCATCATGATCATGAAACAAGAACAACATGATGATCTTCCATGAGTAATATCAAGCATATGATCTACATCCCTATTAGTAGTAGGAGTAGTAGTGCAACTACATCTACAAGTACGGGCCAGCCTTAAGAGTAAAGATTTTCTTGCGTCGGAATCTCGTGCAGCTTCCTCCAGGGTGCATGCGAATCGGCGTTCAGCTTCCGAAAATTTGCGTCTCAACTCGTCGTAACGCATCTCACTTTCCCGGATTTGAGACTCCAGCTTCAGGACAGTTGGCGCCCTGTCTTCCCAGCTCAGCGTAGCCTTCGACAGCTTGATTACACTTGGCATGCGTGCATCTAATTCAGTGGAAGCCGAGAGGTCTTGACTCTGTTCATCTAGTTTGTTCTCTGATGCATGTCCCATACCCGCTTCTTTTACATCAATGTTGTCAACAGGAACAGGATCTAGTAAACGTAGTTGTCCCCTAGAAGTATCTAAGGTTAGACCTTATTTTTATTCATCTTGAACAGAGCATCTTTAACGCACTTCCTCCTTAGGAAAGCGGTCAAAGATGCCTCTTAAGATGAATTTCTCTGAGCCTTAAATCTAAGGGCTTTCTTGTTGATGTGGCCTCATGTTTACTCTCATCATGATCCTGCTCATCATCAAAATTCCAACCATCGTCATCGCCCCAGCCGTCGACGCCATCGTCCTCGTCAGCAGCCGCAGCAGCAGCTGCAGAAGCTGGCTTTGGATTTTCAGCTATCATGACTTCTGCTCCTTGTTGACCTTGTTGGACGTGAACTACTGGTGCAGCTGTAGATAAAGAAGCAGCTGCAGAAACTTTTTGCGCTTGTTCTTCTCGAGTGCGTACCTGCTTTTGTCGTTCTTCTTGCAGTTCGGCTTCCTTTGCAGCCAAAGATTGCTCGAGAGTTGCGAGTTTTTCGGCGACTGCGAGTGCCCCTTCCTCGGCTACTTGTGCCTTACGTTCTGCCGCGGACAGTTGTTCTTGGCTACGCTTCTGCATTCCTTCTACTGCCTCGTTTGCTGCATCCAATTGTGACTTCAAATCCTCAACGCGTCTTTCTAAAGCACTTTTCTGTTCCAGCAAATCTGCTCTTTCAGTTTCGAGTTCTTGTGTCTTCTTTAGGTGGAGTGTGGAACTGGAAGCTGGAGCACCAGACGTAATTGTGGTAGCTGTATCATCTACTTTCTGGTGACCATCAAGATGTTGACTTGCTCCGAAGACCTGTTCCACGTTCTTATCGTCGTCTTCGACGTCATTGGGCCAGGATCCTGTAGAGCCTACTTGAGACCACCCCGCTGGACTCTTTTCTTTATTCTTATCGGATTTATTTAGAACTAATGGAAATCTATCCTCAGCAGCATCTTGGGTCTCCTTTTCCCTTTGAATTCGGGAACAAGATGACAGTGAAGATGGATTTCTTGTACCCTTAATTTATCTACTGCTTGTTCCGAACAAGATGTCCCTTTAAGTTCCGCAGGCAGTGTTAGTTGTGATGGAGGAACATTATTCATTGCAGTAGATGGAAGCACCGCGCCAGCATCATCATCAGCTTCATCATCAAAATCCCAACCATCCTCGTCATCTGATGTTTTACTAGGTTTATTCAGAACAACATCTTCAGCTGCAGCCACTATCTTTTTTGATGTACCAGGCAACATGGCTTCCACTTGTGGCTTTTGCTGGAGTTGCTCAATTTCCTCCGTTTGTGTCGCCAAGCGTTGTTCGAGGTTTCGGAATTCCTAAGTAGAGAGAGAGAGAGAGCATCCATAGATGGTTTGTTGATCTTCTTCTCAATATGTGTCTATTTTTTCCATTTTCGTATTTACTACCCCCGTTTTTCATTTTACAGTCATCTATTCTTATTCACGCAGTGCCATTTACAGTTCTCGGAAGCAAGGAGTGGCGCGGCCGCGACCTCGTGTGGGAATTCGTGTTGAGGTGACTCCGGCTCGTCTGCTCATGAGAACTTGAGCCTGTGTAGCACGAGTTCGTGATGTCCCGCAAAAGCACAGCATCGAGAGTAACGATGGCCGTCGAGATGACCCCCAGAAGGGTCAGGAGGCGCCGACCGGGTAGCCCATGTGAGAATACCCTGGGCCAGTTAATGGGTGTCCCCCGACCAGCGGGGACGCTACTGGGGTCTCTCTGCACCACTCATATTCTACATCGGAGGCGCAACACCCGCGGGATCAATCTTCTACTAATAAAGTATGGAGCAACCAAAAGCAAAACAAGAACAACCCCTTATTTCATAACGAGACTCGTGGTCAGCACAGTCAAGATAAGAAGTCAAATTGTTCAAGAAATATGTTCGCTAATATACCTCTTCTTTCTGCGCCAATTGGTTTCGTGCGTGTGCGAGATCGCTTTCTAGCGTTACAGTTCTCGATTGGAGGGTCGCATTTGTTGTCTGTAGAGTCGCATTAGTTGTCTCGAGCTCTGCATGTGCTTGGGCTAGGGCGGTGGTATTAGAGCGGGAGTAACTAAGTGTGGGTGGTGGCCTAGGTGCGGGTGGGAGGCAGCAGGGGCTATACTAGTTGTAGTATAATAGAAGCAAGGTTTGAAAACTCACTCCATGTTTGGACGGTTTGGCTTTCTGTCCAAAGTATTTGTGTCTTCCAGACGAGGTTGGGAATAATGATGATCAGAAGACTAGAAGATTGTAAGTAGGTCGTTGTTAGTGGGTGGACAACGATGGTGGTTTGGGTATCAACTGAAAAACGGAGCACGGTTGACTATTTTTACACTTACACAGTTACAGGCTGTCTCTGTCATTCCCCATAACATTAGCAGCCTCCTTTTCTGCCATGTCATTTGTCTTCTCTAAGAGGATTGCCTCTTTCTCAGCGAGCTCTCCGGTTATTCGCAGTAGCGTTTCACCAAGTTTCTCTTTTTCTTGCACTAGGTCTTGCACGGAACTTGACTCAGAGAGCTGGCTCGTATTCAATGTTGCACTGGTATTGCTAGTTGTATTTTTAGAGCTGTGCAATATATTGTTCAACACCACATCGCCGTTCAGTGCATCTTGCATCTTTCTAGTATTCATTTTCATCAAAATCAAGTACATGTGGAATACTGACAAACTTTACAAGTCCCTCTACCTCTAGTTGTAGTATTCCGGTGCTGGAACACTAACTTTACAAGGTGAAGGATGCAAAACTCTAAGATCGATGATCATGATGAGTTGAAATTATTCAGAGGAGGCTCCTTAACTGTATTTTCTTGCTGTTCGACGAGATTCACAGCAGAAGTCTGCTCTTTGGCATGCTTTAACTCAGCTTCTAGGCTGGACTTTTCTGTTCGTAAGATCTCGAACTGAGCAACAAGGGCATCCATGTTGTTCGTCAAGTGCCCGTTTTGTTCAATGAGAGCAGCATTCTCAGCCACAATTACGTCTCGATCCGAAGCGGCTGCTACCTGGTAGGTGTACTAGGTCAATCTCGATCAAGATCATGGACACATCGAAGAATCATCATGCTTAACACAAAAACTACAAGCTAAATGTAAATACTCCCTCCTGCGCTAAACGTTGCAATTCTTCCCTCAGGCCAGACGCAATCTTTTGCTCTTGCACCAAGTCTTGTCGAAGTTGTTCCAGATCGTCGGGTTTTATCAGCATACCCGCAACAGGTGTGTTTCCTTCGTCAGGCGAAGCGATATCGAATTCTTGTACTGGAGACATTGCGGGAACGATACCTTTAGAAGTTTTCTCCGGATTGTTCTTCTTGGCACTTGTACTATTTGAAGTTGACATTGAGATTGATGTGCTGCTATCCTTTTCCTGACTATGACCGTCTCCCGCTTCCATCCTATCCCCATCCTTACTGTATTTTTTAGTACTACTGTCTCCAGCTTCTGGACCGATATTTCGTCCAGAGTCGTCACCCCAAGCATCGTCGTCATCACCCCACGGGTCTTCATCGCTAGTGTTCATTGCGAAAGTCTGCGCTTGAGCAGGTTCTTGATGCTTCGCAGCAGGTGCAGCGAGACCGGCCAAATCATCGTCATCGTCATCCCATCCACCTGTTGAAGCTGGAGAAGTAGGTGGTGGCTGCTCAACAACGGCTGCTCCTCCTGATTGTGACGTGCTAGTGACGGCTGCCACTCCTGCTGTTGCTGGTGCACTTGTAGTAGTCGGCTCGATGTGATCATCTGTTTTGCTATCTGGCCAATCGTCATCATCATCGTCCCAACCATCGTCACCCCAACCGTCTGAGACTCGGACTTGCCCATCTGAAGCACCGGAGGCGTCTGTTGGTCCACCTGCTTGCTTCGAGTTTCTTCTTAGAAAGAGAGGTACAGGCTTTCTTTACTTACTATTAATACCTTAGACACTTCGAAGTGTTACTACAACTATGAACTTGTATACCTGTTCTGATCGATGATGTCGTGGCAAAAAACGCCATCTCCGAACAACTTAAACTTATAGCCTTAACTTGTTGTGTCCCCCACCCACGACTACCTGCTTCTGCAATTCTTGCACCAAAGTTGCGTATTGTCGAACTTCTTGCGTTTTTTGTTCTACTTCCTGTTCGAGCAATTGAAGTTGCCTCTTCAACTCTGTTGTCTGCGATTTTTCGATTTTCAAGTCCGACTTCAGTTTCTGCATCTCCATCTCCTTCGCTGAACTCAGAGGTTGAGAATTCACTGGACTTGGTGGTTGTTTCGGTGTCTTGACGACTTTGTTTAGAGATTGATACATTCATAGGAGAAGTCCACCTTCGTTTTGCGGAGTAAGTAAGAATCTTGGTGACCAGTTTCCGTTCTATGGACGAACATCCACCCAAAAGCGGAACCTTCAAGATTTTTCAGCTAAATCCATCAACAGGACCCCAATTAGCATGCTCTGTTGGCCTCAAGGGAGCATGTTCGCTCTTATTCGTTCTGCAGCACCAGATGAAACGGGCCCAAGCAAGTGAGATTGATAGATACAACGAACTAGCTGCTAAGATGGATTTCTTATTATAACTACACGGCCTTAAAATTTCACCTCTCGGAGTCGTGGCTATTGCCCCATTTTCTCCAGCCTGAGCCAACTGCGTCTTTAGGATCTCAATCTCCTTCCTGAGTCTCGCAGTCTGCTTCTCTTCAACCTCAAGGGACTCGGCCATCACTTCAAGTTCTTCTCGTAATTCTTCTTCGTTTAAGTCGTCATAGTCTGCTAGGTTTTTCTTCTTTTCTTTTTCAACAGGAGGTATCTGAGGACTAGGACTTGAAGATGCTTCACCTTCAGCCTTCAGAGGCGGTATCTGTGGACTTGGTGCCTCCCCTTCAGCACGACCTGGAGGAGACGCTCCCTTCGAGGCCGTCGACGATGATGCTAGAATTAGAGACCACCCAAATTTTCATGCACCATCTAAGACTTAGAAGGTAGATTCATCTGAAAGGTGTCTCCCCTTCTATATGGGTGGACAGCTCCAAGATGATAAGTACTTCAAAACAAGGATTAGGGGAAGGGGAAGCCTTAATGATGCTGCTAATTGCTGTTCCAACTCCCTCACTTTCTCTTTCCACTGAGTGCATTCGCGGTTTAGGTTGCCGTTTTCGAGTTCCAGCATCTCGATGTTGTGCTCGGATGCCTGAGCATCGTCTCCTTCCATTTTGCGCTGTAGCCGGCTGATCTCAGCTTCTAAGTCCCGCTTTTGTTCGACGAAGGCAGCAGCGGCGTTTCGTAGTTCCTCTGCCTCTGCAGAACGGATCTCCACTTGAGCTTTCAGCTCTTCTAAGCGAGAAGTTGTACTAGGTGAAGAATCTACTTCGTCGTCTTTCAGCTCTTCACTCCCAACTATACTCCGCTCTGGAGGTGCCGCTGCAGCAACAGCGGGTGCTGCTGCTGCGGCAAGCTGAGCCTCAAGGTCACGGACGCGCTCTCTAGCCTTTGCCTCCTTCTCGGAGAGACTAGCGTTCTCGGCTTTCAATGAGGCGATTTCCTCGCGAAACTCTTCCTGCTCGCTGAGGAGACGAAGGTTCTGGTGTAATTGGATATGCAGGAGGTGGAAAGTGGGAATCGATGGATAAATGTGTTCACTTGTCATGTTTTTCTAATACATTTGTCATGGATTCAAGAGAGCTTCTAGAGCTCCTACTTCACGTTCACAGTGGTCTAAAAATTCTAATCAAGTAGAAATAAAATATACACTCTCGGCACACTTATCCTAATCATGACTTCTACAACCTAACATACGTATAACAAGTACCTCTTCCTCCTTTGCTTCCCATTTTTCTTTCCAAAATACTACTTGTTTCTCCGCTTCCTCTATGTCTCCACTTCTTGCTTTGGGTTTGGATGAGCTTCCTGGGGAAAGGGAATCATCCTGAAGCACTGGACTTCTACTACTTGATCGCGCTCCTCCTGTGCCATTCTTATTCTTGCCATCAGGAGAGTCTTGTGGAGAATCACCTTGGTCTCGATGTATCGTGTCCATGAGCGCCTGGACCCGCAACCGCAGATCCTTAATCTCCGTTTCCTTTTCGGCGGGGATTAGAGATAGAACGAAAGATAGTGGTAAAAAGCTCAAGAAGTTAGGATGGAAGATCAAGATCTACTGCTTCATCTTAAAAGAAGGTCCTTCAATATCTCCTCGTTCGTGGTGCCATCGGCACCATCCTCGCTACCGGAAAAAAGCTTGAACATTTTCAAAAAAAACCGAGAGGCCACTCTCGGACGACTCTAACGCGTGGCACAACTATCAACCAGACGCGACTGGCAGCAGAGACCTAGCAAGCAGGCAAAGACCGGCAGCTGCACACCGTCGGGGACAAGGGAACTAACATGCGCATTTTGTAGTCGTAATCAGTCATGGGAAACATGGAAACTCAGAGATGTCTTTTAACGACACAATCCATTCTTGTCTTCGTTGAGACTCTAGAAGCTTTTATTTCAATTTCGTTTGCTGGGGTGCCGGGGATCTTCACGATGTTGAGGCCACTAATCAATGGATAGTTTTTTCTATACATAGCAAAACTGTCAAAAATGACTAACTCTACCGTACAACTAGAGAGTAGTAGTATTACTTGCACAAATCCTACTCCATTCCTACATGAATGATGAGTAGCTGCTCCTGGTGACGGCCGACGCTCCTTCTTCGCTTTATGCTAGAAATACAGTTACAGGCGCAGAAAAACAAGAAATACTGACGCTGATAGACCACTCCCCCTCACTACAGACGCCCTCCTGCATACTTCTTGATCTTGGCAGTGAATCCGGTGCTGCTCGGGGCAACGTGTAGTACGCAAGACAGAGTGTCTTGTTGTTTAGTTACAATCAGTCGTGGTCGGTGTTGCGTTGTTGTATTTTCTTCAATTAATGTTGTTTAGTGTAATCATCTACACAGGTCACCGTCACATCTCTTTCAATCTGCAATAGCATTCAACAGTCGTGTGTGATGTGCGAAAGTGAAACGGAATGGCAAGGTCTTGCGAGTCTCGTGCTGATTTGAACGTGAATTGGAATTCTTGGCGTAATTGTGCTGCTGACTCGGTGGTCTGAGCAGCCGCAGTGTCTAATATTTAATGCGATTGGCGAAATGATTTCGATTTTTTGTCTGTGTTTCCTGTCCTAATCTGCTTTATATTCTCATCGAATGCGTCTTCAGCGTCACTGCGTTCATCATCCAAACTAAATAATTCTACATAAAGCTTCTAACCGACCTCCTCATGTCCTTCTTTACGTATCCCACGAAGCATTTTTATTAACCTTGAACTTTCCACCGTTTTCATTAACCGTGAAGAAGTCATGACAATGCTTCTTGCTCCTCTCAGGTGGACCATTGCTCAATTTCTCAGAGACGAAGCCTTGATCCCTACGGACAATTTCCGCAATTTTAGGATATTCATCACGGAAGTAGTCTGACAAGATTCGATAAATCTCTAGATCCTCCTCGCCATCGGTTTTCATGCTGTCGTCATCGCACAAAATGTTGCGGATGACGAAATTATAGGCCAGCTTATCCATCTCGTTGCGACTCTCAAATTGATGCTGATTTGATTGCTTCAGTGCCGTAGTCGGAGTCGTCGCAGTCCCACTTGCGCCTTGACCTTGACCTTGTTCATCATCATTATGAAATCTTCCTTCAGCGTCCTCAGCATGATCGTCCTCTCCAACGTGTCCTCCATCGCCTACGCCTCGTGATGTAGGAGTTCTTGGTCTACTACTTCTACTTGTCTCTTCTAAAAACATCGTTGTACTTCTCGGAAGTCCCAAGAACTCGTGTATCCTCGAGAAAAACGCTTCCGGATCATTTTTGAGTGATTCAAATTCCACCACTAAAACCCGCTCCCTGCCACACACGCGAAAGACATCCGCTAGGATCTCGCTGTAGCGGCCAAAGCGTCTTCCACAGTCTTCGAATTCGAGTTGCCCTGTTGCGATCTGTAGAAAAGAGTGTTGTCTGCCCTCTGGACATCCCGCACTGCCCAACCCTTCACGTGCACAACGTAGATGAACGCGGTAGTTGAAGACGCTTTGTAACCACTCGATTGGCTCTAGGACTTAGACCTACCTCAACCTCAGCCGCATTCCTGGTAGCGTCGTCCTTGGCGTTGTGAAGTAGACGGTTTACCCCTACTAATTAGGAAAAATAGCCAAGAATGACACTGAGGATGCAGTGGACTTCTAGGTAGTTGTTGCCTTAACGCACAACGAAAATCAACTTCAAAAGCGGATAAGCGTCACAGACTAAGCTGACATGCCGTGAAAACGCAAAGGCTTCACTTTTGAAGCCGACAAGAGGCGCTACTGCTATCGGACTAGAGGGCAGATTCTTTCCTTAGACCTCTTCCTAATTCATCCCTGTGGAAATCTCTCAAGCGTATGCGTCAGTGTCCCCCTTGTATCGGGGCGCATACGGTTGAGGGATGCCTATAGAGAGACGGAGTAATAACGGTAGCCCTAATTTCCAGTCCCAGTAGAAATTGATCTTTTCCCCACTTCTTCTCTAAACTGTTGGACGTCTTGCAACCGCAGCAACGGTGGCCAGTTAAAACTGAGCAATGAATCGTCCATGATGACGTGCCTACTTAGAGCTCATCCGACAAAACCATCTTGCAGCGTATTCGGAGACCTTTTACCCCTTGAAAAGAAACGTCTCTCTCAGACAGGATGCTGACTTCTCTGAAGATGGACCATTAGGGGAACAAGCCTTAATCTATGTAGTCTTTGAAGATTAGCTTTCACTGTTGTCGACCCAGAACGTGCAAAGCCAGCAATGAGAAAGTCCATACGCGGTTGCCGGAAGCCGAAATGACGATGTGGCCAGAAGCGCTTTTTTGATAAGACACGCAGAGATTCGCATCTGGCTCCCACGTCGCGGTAGTAACGTTTCAATATCTGCTCGAGAGAACAGTAGTCGGAGGCTAGCGGATCGGTGTCCTGGTAGCTCTGAGGGAAGCAAATGCCGAGGTTGAACGCCATGTTGGGGAATGAAAGTAGGTCGAGGCGGAGGATACGAATAGACCAAGAAGAAAACAGGCGAGAGAGATGGCAACTAGCTTTGAAGATTGTTCGTGTACCTCCTTTGTTGTACTGGCCATAAATTATTCATCAGCAAATGCGTATCCATATAGTGGTAAGCGCCACCTGACGTTTCTTCGCAGTCTTCTCGAGCCATGCGAATTTGCTCACTGTCTTGGTAGTAGATCTTAAAAAACGAAGACCTCCCTATAAGCTCTTCGTCGCATGGAGGATAGGAGGTGTTTTCAGGTCTATTGGACTTTTTTAGAACCTCTCCCCCGGACAAACTTGGTTGTCGTAGTCCCTTACCCTTTTGCCGCCTTTCCTTCTCTAATTCCGGATGGTCAACATGGAAGCGTGATACGACTCGCCCATGAGCTTGTGCTCCTGCTTGTGGCGCTACTTTAGTATCATCAACACCTGCTCGACCTCTTGTATGCGGTTGGTGCTGTTGTAAAAGTGACGTCCCCGACGGCAGCAATAGTTCCTCTTCTAAAAGGCTTGCTTCGTCGAACATCAAGGTATTTTGATTTTCTAGAAGAGCGTTGGAGGCAGCAGACAAACGGCCAAGTAATTCCACTTGACAGAGCCTCACATCACCACTAAACTCGACACTCGTAACTGCTCTCCTCCTAATTTGAGCACAGTCCACACGCTGAGCCGTGTTAGCGTACGAAGCGGCAGAAATTACACAGGACGCATGAGCCGTGGTCGCTGAGATCTTGACTCCATTTCCGCCTCCACTTCTTGCTTCAGGTTCTGGGACAGAAGTAGAATCTAACTTCGGTACTAAATATTCCACATGAATTTCAAACTGCCATTCCAAATCCAAAGAACCCCCATCTGAGAGATTTTCAAGTGCTTTCGCACCTGCTTGCTCGTATAGAACCCAAATTTGCTCTAGACTTTGAGGAATACTGAAATCCGCACGCCAAGGCGTAGTTCGGAGGCAATCAAAAGGCAACCAGTTGCCATCCACAGGCCTTGGATGGGAGACCTTGAAACTCGAACTGGTTTTAGTCGTGGAGGTCACTTGATGTACTTCTTCTAGCCCATTATCTTCATGATTAGAAGTTGTACTACTACTATCACGACTACTACTAGAGTACCTAGTTCTTGTAGAGCTGTCCGACGAAACTGAAGAAAGCAAATTCTCCGCTGTCACAGACCATCCTCTTGGTGCCGAAACCGATCCAGCAACAGGTACGAAGTCGTTGTCGGGAAGGATAGAATGGACTGTTTGAAGTGGTGCAGGTGCAGGTGATGGCAAGAACATCTCTTTACTGCTATCGCCCTCCCGTTCATGAGGTATCCTACTTTTCAACAAGCACCGCCTCTGGAGAAAGGCTTCCGAGAACTGTTCCGAAAAGCTACCCCATGGATCCCCATCGAACTCGGGTGACACATAAGTGTAGCTTGCACAAGGATCAGTAGTTTCAGTTTGTGGTGGCGTGTCTACGCCTTCGTCTTCGTTTGCAGCAACTCTTGCGCCTTCGTTGGAGGGAACGGATGAAAGTCTCTTCTTCGCAAAATCTTGCCAGCATAGGTCTTGACACGCAGAAGCAGAGGAAGCGAATAGATGCGTCTCCCAAATAGGAGAGTTTATATCGCAGGAATCAAAAACCTCGAATCTACGTTTCTGTTGTTTTTCTTCTGGAGACCGTATCAGGTGTCCAGAGTACAATCCTTGGTTCCGAAACACGTGCAAATGCACGTCAGGATGTTTGCCTAGCAAGATATGATCTCCTTGTCCAGATTCGGGCTGCTCTTCTCTAATTTCTGCACCTCCAAGTTCTACCCTCCCTCGTAACACACACGTTCCCCGTAGTTCTAAGACCAGAGCCAGTGGGAGAATCGCTGGCGTTCCTGGAAGAACGGGAGCTCTAGTACTCATTATACTTTGAGGCTCCAGATGAACCTGAGCAGTAGTTTCTTCTTCATCTGCGTGACCCCTCAGATATGTGAACCCACCACATAACGAGCCTGACTCTACGCATAGAGCACTACAAGATTCTGGTGATTCGACTTTTTGTGATGACAGGTAGTAGTCGTAACCCCAGTAAGCGTCGCCTAGCGGTAATTCGAGCGCTCGTGCCTTGGCTAAGTCGGACGGTTTTTCTTCCTCAGATGAAGCAGGACCTCGACTTCGACCACAACATCGATCATAGGAAAGTCGCCCTTCTTGCAACATAAAAAAATGGTCCTCACCTCCTTCTACATTCGCACCAATAGCACCACCCTCATCCCAGCACCCCGCAGCTTGCCCAAACGCTCTCTCCTTGTTGCAGCATATGTGGCAGTGCTGGAAGGAGCCAGGTATTTCCCCGAAACAAGTTCTAACGCTGGCATCCGCAGGACAGCGAGGCTGAGTTTCAGGTAACTTTTGCAGGTACATGAGATAGGGTGGTCGGACACGGTAACGTCTCACTGCCATCAGAGGATGCCAAAACCAAACACGGAAAAATGTGCGGACGCAGGAGGGCGTAGACAACGCCGCGCCACCTAGGAAGCCACCAACTTTTCGTGTCCTCTGATTCTCTGGCATACCCCTTCGTGCTGTTGGAAAAGCTCGCGAGTCTCGTCCGTGTCTTTCATTGGACTCTCTAGTAGATCCTCTTGCTTTTCGCTGTCTCCGACTTCTCTCCCATCGAGCTCGCTTTCGATCCATCGGTATCCGGCTTGAGCGATGGCGAGGCGTGAACTGCTTAGCCTGCTGAGGCTTGTTGCTACTGTAAATGTTCTTGCCCTTGGTGCGTCTACCACGAGGTCCCCTGCTCGATGCCAAGCCAGCTGTTCGAAGTGGCAATTCATCTGGTCCTCCTGCTCCCACGAAGCCTTCCTCTTTCCTTGTACTGAAACTGATTCGTTCCTCATTTTAAAGCTCAGCGCTCAATGGTCACTGATGCTGAACGGAAGAGACTCCCTTCAAAGCTCTCCCCTTTCCTTTCCTTTTCCCCTGTTCTCTAAAGGAGTCGCTTCTTCGATCTCAGTGACTCCAATCTCAAATTGAAAGCTGAGCCTTAATCATTATAAGCACAGAAAGGCTTACTTGAGTGGAATCCAGTCCAGTCCATCTGGTAGAGTCCGAAAGGCTCTGCGGCAAAGCCTGCTTCATCGGACCATTCTCTGAAGACAGTTGTCCCAAACTGGAGAGAGTCTGAAGCAATGTAGTAAATGGCACCAGGATAGTAGTTATCTGAATGTGCTTGAGAGGTAGCATATTCAGCCGCACGTTTATCAGCCGGATCGTTCTCACAAAGTTGCTGAATTTCGTACCGCATGTAGCCATGAGCGGAGGGGGAGAAGAACAACTTCCGTAGGATGTCGTTGACGACGAGAGCACTTTTTTCAACAGTAGTACTACTAGTTTCTTTCAGGAGTTTCGCAGATGATAAATCAGATGAATCATTTCCCTCTCCGTCTCCGTTCCCATCCCTGCTCGTCCCATCAAGATTAACGAGCTCCAACGTCTTTCCCTCTCCGTCTCCGTTCCCATCCCTGCTCGTCCCATCAACTACGAGTTCCAGCGTCTTCACCAAATCGGCTATACCCTGTTCGAACAGCGGTCGAAACTGCGGAATTGGAAACTCAATTTCCTCTGAATCTCCAAGAACCAACTGACCCTGGAGGTACTTCTGCCGCAAGCCAAGAGGGGCCCGAAACTGAGTCCGGTCGAGGACATAGCCGCCTGTTAGAAGACGTGGCCGTTCACCTAGTGTAGCACGGACATCTAGTGTAAGTAGATGAAGTGCTGGATTATCATCTACACGTGAAGATTAATAAGATGAACAAGTGAACTCGCTTTTATAGTAGTAGTAGAGTCCTCTACTAGTCTGATAGAAGCAATTCCAGTACCCTACCACCTACAACTAGCACGACATCAGAGAAATATGGTGACTCAAAAGATGATACTATCAAATCTCAAGTCACCATGATACTATACTGACTCAAAAGATGATACTATCAAATCTTAAGACTAAAGTCGGCGGACGTTGCAGCAATGTCTTCGAAGGCTGTTCGGCTTTCTGGACTAAGAGGTCCTCCAGTCGGCTCTCGTCAGGTGTCAATATGCCAGACGAAACAGAAGCTCTTGCTCCTGCTACGGCAACGTTGAACGCCAGGAAAAGTGCAGCAGCAACGCATGCACCAGATGCCAAGAACATCCTCCACCTCTGATGTCTCGTCATTTTTGACGAAGTCTCCTATACATCAGAGTAGTGGTGTTCTCATATGTCGGACGCAGCTTCATCTCCCCTGGAGCGCCGGCAGAAGACACAAGCATACCTCTTGTCACGCTCTCCCGCTAACGCACATCTCCTCGCTCACCATGTTGATCTCTTCCTTACATTAATCATGATCTCCATGCACTAGAAGTACTTCCTCACAAACTAGAACTTAATAAGGGATCTGATGGATCCATCTGCTCGGACTCGAAAATACAACTAGGCATCTTGGAGAACAGCAGAGTCGCTTTTTGATCGATTGGGCATGCACGAAAGGCCCCGTCTAGTGCCCAAGGCTGGCACGAAGAAGTGTGAGTTTTTCCCCCGAGTTATACTAGGAAAAGGTAAAGGAGAAAGTCCCGATCAATATGGCATCCTGTGCAGGCGATTTGCAGTTTTCTTCACGACAGCTGTATTCTCAACCGGGTAGGGATACTAGGAAGTTGAGTCTCTCATCTCAACGTAGTTACAAAAATTTTAGCCATGGTCGTGAGGATGGTCACTCATCACAACTAGGTGTTGCTTGTGCTGGCAGACATCAGATGCATCACAACGAAGCAGGAAGACGTGACATTCATCGTCAAGATGCAAAAGGAGTAACTACTCCTAAAAAAACTGATCCCCCCAAATCATTTAGTAAATAGCATTCATATTTGTCGCAGTGTCGGATTGTCTAATAAATGTATGAATAGGGCGCTCTTTGTGTTTGTCCTCTACTGGTCTATAACTCAGCCATGTCTACTGCACCCCAACCCCCTAGGCGCAAGTCCTCCCAAAACATTGATCGAAGCCATATCTTCTACGAAACGTCGGCGTCGTAAAGGAAGCCGCTGCACCCAATGTCAAGTCGGAAAAAAACCTTGGAATGGCGATTACTAAACGGAACATTAGAGGTTCTTGAAGAAACAATTCACTCTCCAATTCACTCTTGTTCTACAGGAGCAATATTTATATATAATATATTTTCGATTTCGAGTGGAGAAACAAATAGTAATTGTTGCATGGGATAAGCCTAAGAGTGTGGAGGTGAAGAAAACTAAGGGATAAGCCTAAATAAGGGGTAATTGTTGCATGGGATAAGCCTAAATAGTAATGTATACAACGAAGTCGAGATGGAACAAGCACAAGGAGCTTGTTGTAAAAGTGAAATCGAAATGCTTCAATGTTGCATAAGAACAAGCCCTCCGTTGCGCCAACGCTGGCGCCCATACAGTCATCCTCATATTCACGGGAGCGTTGGTGTGGCAACGAAGCTGCATAAGCGAGATCTCTTTGCAATAAGGAGCACGAACGCTCACATGCGTTCTGCTTTCTTTGTCGCGGTGTTGGATCCATCGCGTTGACGTTGACGGTGAAGATCATCAGCCGATGAAACGAGAGTGACCACAGCAGGAGTCGAAGTGGCGACAATAAAGACGAGAGTTTCATCGTGGTGTCCTTGATCTCTTATTCACAGGAGGTGGGTAGGATAGAAGGAAACAACCCACCTGAAAATATGTTGACAGATGGACTGGATAATATATCATTTAGCGGATTATACAAGAAATGTAGGTAGACATCAACCACAACCTAGATGCCAGCACTACAGTGTGAAGGCTTTCTGCAGTGTGAAGCTTTGTGGTAAGTGCACAACATGTTTAGTGCCGAGGACGAGGTAAACTCAAAAAATCTGATGGTAAACAGTTGGAGGAGGAAACTCACTGGCGCGTCGATCCTGTTAGCCAAAGGACAATTCTGGTGCTGATCCTGTTAGCCCGAGGACAATTCTGGTGCAGAAGATGGGCCAGTTGTGCGCCCACTCCTGTACTCTTTAAAAGCGCACTTTTCAGGAGACTTGCTGGAACAAGGATAAACACGACTTTGTTTTTTTTCCTGGCTCACAAAAAGCTGGCATGCTGAGCAGAGGCTTGTTAGCAAAACCTAAACTTCTTGGATGTGTACCAGAAACAGCATCAAATCTGAGCGAATACGCACATGCACATCATGTGATGTTTCTGCGACACGTCGTAAAGCAAACATGCATTGATTCATCATGTGCCCTTTGTTATGAAATTGAAAAATTGCTTGTGTACTACTTTCTGGCGACATCATTCATGTGCGCGAGGGTCGTGTATGTTCTCGTTGTTATTCGTAGGAATTCATCGAGGCAAACCTTCTGTGAACCGACTTCGAATTTTCTCCTTAGGAGTTGTAATCGAGTTTCCGGGTGGTAATGCCGTAGTATCTATTATAGCCTTTTGTCACACTTCCTTGCTTGTTCATCTCCTGTCACGACAGGGACCAAAGTCTGTCATTGATGTCTTCTACTTCATTCTTCTATTAAAACCTTCAGCTGAACAAGACTCCTTGTGCTCTCAAGAAGTCGTTCTCTAAGAGGCATTTCGACATTCTTCAACCCCACCTCCAGTTTCCTGGTCCTAGTCGCTTTTGATTCTCGCGTAGATGAAGTGCAGGAACTGGCTGCAGCTGTAGTAGGTGATGGCTCCGAACATCAGCGCCAAGGCGTAGCTGATCAGGAGGGAATACATAAAGAAGAACGCTCCCTGGAGGAAGGAATCCATCAGACTGCGTCGAAAATAGTAGACGCAGTACATGTTGAAGAAAAACGCCAAAGATGCGCCGGCGGTTAGAGACGGTAGCTGTAGTTGGTCTTGGTGCAGGGAGGGTTTCCTAGAACGAGGATGTTGAGGAGGTAAACAAATAACACTTCTTGTACGAGTACGTGTAGCAGACAACATGCACATTCATCATGTCATCTGGAAGTAAAAGGAGTAAGAAGAGTACTAAATAAAAACAGCAACATATTCTAAGAAGGGATCATCATAAAGAGTAGAAGCTTCTCCACCACCATCGGTAGTCTTCCACGTTCAGCATAGCGTAGATGAACAAAATCGCCAGAATGCTAGAACAAACAAGCGTCAGCACCAGAGTAAGCAGCAGGAGACCGTAAACACGGTACTGACTTCCACCCCAGACACTGTCGAAAACGTAGTGCAGTTCGGTTCCGCGGGATGAAGGTGGGGGGAGAGGAGGAGGTGGAGGTGGGAGGACGAGGAGATGACCTTTCGGGATGTTGTAACCCTTTCTTTTCTAATGTGATAGTGATAGTTGTGGTGGAGCCGACCTAACTAGAAAAAAGAAAGACCAGAGGAAGTGATAGTGATCGTGAAAGTGACAGACATATCTGTGGCGAGTAGAACACGTATCATCTAAATTTGAATCTCACTAACGCGGCTTCATCCATATAAGATTCATAACATCGACACAAACGGCAGCCCACCGCACACCGCGTATTGCAAGCACAATCCCTGAGACCAGCTCTTCGCTGACTCTGGAATGTGCCGTTCCAACTTGTTGGTTTTGCACGGAAAGTAACTCGCGATATCTGACTGCGTATCTCGACGCCTGATGACTACTTGTCGCCCAACTATTCCGCCAAGAATGGTGAGGGGGACTGTGACGCAGACCCACATGCCGAAGAGCAGGCATATGGTGCCAAACGGTACGGCAACAGTGGAGGAGTAGAAGATGGCTACAGTGTTGAGGAAGGACCAAATGACGAAGACCGGTAGTGCAAACATCAAGGCCGTAAGCAAGATATTCAATGTCCATCGTTCTCCTCCCAACTTCTGGTACAGCGCTCCACTAACATAGCCAGCAATGACAGCTGATGAGACGTAAAAGAAAGCCATGGTGGACAGGACTGTGCCTGGATGGAGAGGTTAGAGAGAGGGAAGGTCGTGTGTTTCTTTGGGATTATATTAAACTTCGTTGTTGTGTTGATCAAGATTGTTTTCTGTTTTCATCACAAGGCAGAGGCAGACTTGAAGTTCGTTCTTTGCTGGACGTGGATTAGTTCTAGTAGCTCTTGTGCTTGCTCTTGCCTTAATAATTCGACAAGCACCCCAATAAGATGACCGACAACGCCATCACCAGAAGCTGCGTCCCTGTGCCAATCAAACTAGCAAAGACTGTGCGGAATTTGGGTGCTCGAAAGACATCTGCATGCAGCAACTTCCATCCAGTTTGCGGTCGCAGGTCGTCAAAATCGTCATCTTCAAAATCGGTCATAATATCGTCCAGATTCTTCTTCCCTCCGCTCTCAAGGTCGCGCACTCTGCCGGGGCTGCGAATGTTAGCAGCGAAGGGAGGAAAGAGGAGGAGGAGGAGGAGAATAACACACAGGACGCGCACGTGGAAAATTTAAATCTTATTGTAAGTTCTGGCGGTAAAAGTTTTAGTTTATCTCAAATGTCTCCGTCTAGCTTTTCTCAGCAACAACGTGACCACCTATTTTCATTTTCTTGAATGAACTTGAAAAATGAACAACAAACAAGAACATTGAACAACATTTCGGGTGCCATATTCTTCGCCCCTATGACGTTGGTCATCTCCACACTGCTGTAAGCTGGTCCTGACGCAGCTTGGTACAGGTCTCGTTTCAGATTGCGAATCAAGACGCAACTCGCAAGCATCAAGACGACGAAGACGACTGCGAAGGAGTTCAGTATCGCGAACCAATGTACCTTTGGAGGAGCGTCCCCGTGTGTTGTGTAGTCACCGACCAGATCGGCGTAGCAAGTTAGAAGAAGCGGTGGAAGTACTAGCAGGGGACCAAATTCAACAAGACAAAAGGGGTGATTAAGAGGAAAAAAAGGGATGCTAGCTTAAGGGGCAAAATTAGATTTACAAAACAAGAACAACGCCTCCAAGTTTTATTTTTGAGTTTACGAGTGCTGTCATCTTCTATAGCAACTTTTTGTTTTTGGAAGGAGAAGAAGATGAAGAAGGAAAGGAACCAACATCCACTTGGATCGTTCGGCGAATCAAAAAAAACGTCATCTGCTGGCACCACCATAAATTATGCATGATCTGATAATCCAAAGCTTCAGCGCGTGTCATCCCGAAGTCAGATGATGGATACCAGTGGACGGAGACGTAAAAAGGGATTTTCGCTGGACCCTCTACAGGTAGTTCGAACATGCCCCCTGGCAATGGAGGCCTCAGCTTCACTTGCATGATGTCTCCCTTGCTGTGTGTGATCTCGAACTCGTAGTGGTTGCGGATAAAATATCTCATCTTCTCATCATCCTTGACAGGATGAACCCTGGGTAAGTTCGATGCGAGGGCTTTTACAGAAGCTGCAGCTGCTCCAACGCCGGTTTTTGGTATGAAAGAGAGAAGTGGTGGAGAAGGGGTTGAAGTTGAAATGAAGCAGAAAGTAGATGACGATTCTAGTCTGGAAACAATTTACTCATCCACCATCACGACCCACTCTGTTCTTGCATGTACATAGGATAGGATAGGATAGGATAGGATAGGATAGGATGCCGCCACATGGACATATACAAGAACTAACGTTTTGTCTAACTCAACAACATCACGAGAATCCAAACCCTTCTCATAAGTTCTCCTGCTCTCCCCAAAGTGTGTGCTGGATTCTCTTTAGGACTGCTGTAGTACTCGTCATCTGAGGTAACTTCGTAGTCGGAATACAGGCTTTCTCCATAGTTACCCCACATTCTTTCAGCTAAATTTGTCTTCATCCATCCAGCATCGTCCAGCTTCTGCTTTTCTGCGTTCGAGAAATAGGCAGCTGACTCTTCGTTGAGTTTAATCCCGATGTAGTCTGCAACTGGGAATTCATCGACGACTATTTCTGCGGGGATTAGAAGAGAGTAAGAGTCGCGAAAGAAAGTGGTGCGGGTAATATCCAGCCGCCTGTTTGTCATCTCGTCGGACTCTACTTCTCAGGAGAACTAGTCTTGAGGTGGAGGAAAGAACAAGTAGTACTATCATGATGATGTTGATGTATGCTCAAAATTATTATTTCTTAAAAAATTTTTTTTCATAAAACAAACCAATCATCTATCGCCTGTCGCAAACGCTCCACATCGGTAGCCGGGAGATCCCTATTGCAAACGAGTTTTTGCGCTGTCTCCCACACAAAAGGTTCATTGCCTCCTTGGTCTGCTGGAATTGACGTGCGCCAAGGATGTTAGATGCATGTACCGAAGTAGCTAGCATTTTTGAAGTTACATATTTGATATTTCCTTTTATCTCCAAATTATAATCTATCTTGCAACTGATGTCAGTGCACTTGAATGATGTTCTTCTACTTCTAGCTCTATTCATCTTGCAGCTGCTGCTGTCTCTTTCAGGCGCCATAATACTCTGGCGGCAGTCGCTTGAAATCGAGCATCGAGTTCATCAATCGGTCGCCGTTCAACACTTGTCCCAGACTCATTAACTGTGGGACTGGTACGTCAGGCGCACAGGCAAGAGGAAAGTCGTAGTATCTGTACGTCTCCCGGGGGTTCTGACTGGGCCACATCTTGTTGACTAAAACGCGAACGTCACTGGCGTAGTCCTTCACAAGGCCTTGAAAGTCAGCTGGTAGAAGTTTGTGGATAAACTTCGTGTAGACATGGCTCTCTGGAATGCCATCGTGGTCGTAATCTGCTTCCAAGACTCCATCCCTATCCGGATCCGTCAGCAAATGCCCTTGAAAATCGTAGTCGTTTTTTCCTTAGAATGTGCAACGTGCTCGTTCCAGCGGTATCTATAATATTAATATCATTTTCTGGATGAACCTTGACCGGAAAAGATGATTGCACTCCACTTACTAATACTAGTTTTGATTAAATAAGTTCTTCATATTATCTTGGTGTAAAATATTAAGAGAATCGCCGCAGACGCAGCTACTACTGCCATCTTTTTCCAGATGAAAGGTTCAAAAATAATATCTCAACCCCTCACTAACCCTTCCTAGCCCGAGTTTGATTAAAGGGAGGAAAGAGCCAAAGAGGCGACGATTATCTTGGCGTAAAATAAACTTAAACAGCTACGGTTACGGATCATATCAAATATTTAACATAATTAGTACGAATTATGCCGGAGTAAGTAGCATCATTTGAATTATAGTTTCATCCCATTATGATCATCCGTAAGACAGAGCAGGACCTGATACTTCCAACGCATGTCCATGATGTGACCCACCATGATGTGGCTCATGCGGTGACTGCGGAAGCTCGGCCTCCTCCTTCCGACCCTTTTCTAGCTCATTATGTGAGGATGACAGGGTCGTCTCCACCGCGTCTCCACCTAGTACTTTGTTGTTCTCTTGTTCTTCCTTTAATATTGCGACGTTTCCACTGTTACCACTAGAAGTACCCGCTCCTGTACCGGAACCATCCTGCTGTGAAGTCGCAGCTACACTACTTTCGACGTGCTGAGCTGGATTTTCCTCAGCTTTTGCCTCAGGTAGTGGAGGTGATCCTGCGGAGGTAGTCGCCTTCTCCTCTGAAGGGACGGGCATTTGCTCTGCGAGGACCACGAGGCCAAAACCACATAAGCACAACAATCCGCGACTTCTAGAGGACCTGTTGCTGCGTATCCTCGTGCTGCGAGGTGGCATGCAAGAAGGCCCACTAGGAGTAGGACTCAACATCTTTGGCTTTCTATTCTTGGTGCTGGTGGTCTGAATTCGCTTAACGTCAAGTAAGTAGGTACATGTACGAATGATGATTTACAACGCAGAAGCAGTCACAGCTACATGATTGAAAATTTAACGTTTTTGATGTTCCTACATTTCGTCTCTGCTTCTAGCAGAGTCAAGAAATCGTCTTTCGACCAAGAAATCGTCTTCATGAATACAGAGTGTAGCACTTCGTCACATGCTGGATGCCGCAGGTCTAGTAACGTCACATGCTGGATGCGGCAGTCATCACCTCCCAAACGCAGCAAAAACCGACTGAACACACTACAAGGTCGTGCTCGTGCCAAGTGATTCTGGCGTACAACTGAAGTAAAACGTTTTACATCTGTGCCTGTGGTCGTTTGCCGATATGAACAGGTAGTTCTATGAATTGTATAAAGACAGCATCGTCGTAAGGATAGTACGTCATGGTACCATTTTAGTTCTTTTTCAACAAAAAGTTTTTCAGAACTTGAAATTCTAATAGTTTCTGCTTCACTTTGACTAAATTGACCTCCTAATTTCGCGGAAAAACACATCTTTAGTCCTTCTTTTTCGGTGCTTTCTTCGGATCCGCGCCAAATGCTGCGCTGCCACCTAGTTTAGATAGTGAGAGCGTGGCTGAATATGACAAAAAAGGCTAGTGATCAACATGACTTGTTGTTCTTCTTCTTGTTGCAACTACATTGCCCAGCACTAGCAGTAGGTACTGCTACTCAACATCCAAATGAAAAGCAAATAATGGAAAACTCTTGTAATACCGCCGAAGGCTGCACTTCCTCCAAGAGCGCTACTACCTCCTAGTGCCGAGCTACCGCCTAATGCGCTGCTACCACCGATAGCCATACTGCCTCCGCCGAGTGCCGCGCTACCACCTAGTGCGCTACTACCACCGATAGCCATACTACCTCCTAGTGCCGAGCTACCGCCTAATGCGCTGCTACCACCGATAGCCATACTGCCTCCGCCGAGTGCCGCGCTACCACCTAGTGCACTACTACCACCAAGCGCAGCACTGCCGCCAAGAGCACTACTACCTCCTATTGCCATACTACCTCCACCTAATGCCGCGCTGCCACCAAGAGCGCTACTACCTCCTACTGCCATACTACCTCCTCCGAGCGCGGCACTACCACCTAGAGCTGCGCTGCCGCCGCCGAAGGCTGCGCTGCCGCCACCAAGCGCGGCACTACCACCTAGAGCTGCGCTGCCGCCGCCGAAGGCTGCGCTGCCGCCACCGAGCGCGGCACTACCACCTAGAGCTGCGCTGCCGCCGCCGAAGGCTGCGCTGCCGCCACCGAGCGCGGCACTACCACCGAGAGCTGCACTGCCGCCACCGAAGGCTGCGCTGCCGCCACCGAGCGCGGCACTACCACCGAGAGCTGCGCT